AAGAATAATAAAGCGATTATTGCAGGCCATCGCGTCGTCTTACCTAAAGCTGGGATTAATTATGGCTCGAGAATGCTCAGGACGCGACTTGCAATCTGCAAAAGGCTATCATCAAGATTTTCATGGATAGCTATTACAGTAGAACTCGTCGACATGAGCATCGCAGAGAAAATCAAGAACAATTATTCTCATCGTGTGCAAAACCATTGGTAATCAAATATTCATCGGGAAAGTGTATGGCAACCGGGCTCGGACAGATGGTGTAGGGTTCAAACAAAGAAAAGGGCTGCAACGCTCATAGTCAGCTGCGACCTCATGTTCCCTCGTGTTCTCTACTGATCTAATCTAGCCGGTGGAGAAGTGCACTTGAGAAGATCATTAAGGATATCGAAAGTTGCAACACAGCACAACAAGCGGACGATGAAGAAGCGGAGCAATTTTGCAAGGAACAGGCAAACGCAATGCAAAAAACTTTATCGTACACAATCGTCCGACGAGATTTCAATGGTACAGTAGGAAAGGAAAAATCCGAGAGAGCGTTTCACCGGTCGGTTTGAAAGTGGACGGTAAAGCATACACGATTCTCGCCTCGTAGCGTTTGTCGAAAGTAAATATCGAAAGTTGCTTCCAGATAATCAATACCATGTCTGAAGAAACAGAGAAATGGCAGCAGGCGTGGAGGACCCTAATGGAACGGCCATTAACCAAAAGGACTAAATTTTGACTTTGACAAGACAGATTATAACAAACGTGGCTATTATTTGAGGAACGTCGTGTATACGGCGTTAGACCACACATTACTCTGCTCCACAGATTTTGCTACAGAAGATCCGGTTAGAAGGGCTCAATAAACACCGGCGAATATTCAGTCCTCATACATTGGCAGACAAGCCTCCTTGGCTGAACCTCGCAATAGGCATCAGTAGAGGTATCGATGAAGACTACTAGAAACTCATTGGTGCCATTCAGCCATCCAGTCGTGAAACAATGCCGATGTGAAAACAATGTCCCAGCCTGCCCTGCATCAAGACAGCTGATGGCTGGAAGTGTCAGAAGGAATACTGTTGGGCAATTGAACGATGAATACATGGCGCTGTGCAAAGAAATGCACGAAAATGTCCCGGAGGTCTATGACGAATACGGGAAAGCGAGGCAAAATAAATGGTGTCAAAGAAGAATAACTTGAAGACGGCAGAAAAGGCTATTCCCATAGAAACAAAGATTCCGTTAAGATTAAACGGCGAAGGAAGAACACAAACCACAGATCACTGTTTCATGAAAGAGATCTACAACAGGTTCTGCGACAACCCTCCACTCTTCAAAAGTAGAGGTAAACTGAAAACTGAAGCAAGTTACCACGGAAACAGCTTCCGACGTCATTTAGGACAAAGTAGAGTGGGCATGAGTGGAAGATATCCTTGCATGGATTGCATAAATTTGAAACGTTTAGAGTCAGGTGAAGTGACACTTTTTCGAAAGATTCAGAGAGTACATCAAACTGAAGAAAACGCCAGAAGCATGGAAGAACTCTCAGATGATTTTTCCATTCAAGAAAGATGATGCTGGAGAGCTTCAGAAATATCGATGCATAAGGCCATAAGGACTTTACCCAAATTGCCCTCAACAGTACCCAGAAAGACTGGAAATGCTCACCACTAAATAACAAGCCGGTGTGTGAAAAGGGTTATCCACCATAGAACAGATCCATGTCGTGAGGGAAGTATAAGGACTAGCAATCCCTCCCCCTTCCCATCCCCTCCCCCTCCTTCTCCCCTCCCTCTCACCCTCTCCCTCCCCCTTCTGCTGAGCATTCACCGGCTTCAGAAAAGCGTGCGATACCGTCGACCTCACCGCTATATTGAAGTCTTGCCCAACTACTGTATTAATCCTGTGTACGTCGACACCTGATCGAGGAACTGAACGCTGAATATCTCGTAATCGACATCAAGCTGTTCGAGGAACCGTGTTGAATCAACATCAAAAAAGAAGTACATTTAAGAGACACAATCTCCCCAAAGCTTTTTGCGAAGGCGTTAGAATCTCCCACTGATCGCACGAACTGTAACGGCGGCTTTATTACTGACGGAGAACGGCTCACCCATCTCCACCTGCTGTTTGCAGGTCACATGATTATCTTCATCAAAGACCTGGTGAAACTGCACACAATGGTTGGGCTGTTGCAGATGGAGCCTGGGGATGAACATCGAAATGAATGCTCAGTGAGCACTGCCTGGAGGAACCGTCTTCATTGACGGCGAAGAAGTGGAAGTAATCGCTAGTCCTAATAAAATCCAATAATAACGTCAACGTTGAGGTCAACAGAAGAAGAAGGGTGGCATCGGTCAGTTTCAGCCATATCAAAACATCGCTGCTGTTTAACGAACTATCCGTTTCCAAGAAGAACGAACTATTGAATCAAACGATCCTACCTGCTATGATTAAAGACATGGAGTGTCGGACTACCACCAAGGCAGAATAAGGAAGTTAATAGTGACGCAAAAGCCAGCGATGCAAAAAAGAATATGCAAGGTCTTTCTTCGAGACTATGTTCTACGTGCGATGGTTCGATGCCGTCATAATTTTGCATATCCTCACAGCCGCTAATAACTCGAAAGGCGATGGGCTAGCCGTTGGTTCATCTAATGGACGACGGATGGTCATCCGGAGTTACAAACTGGATCCCCTCAGCAAAGCACCTCCAGCAACAGTGTGGGATGATCCAACGATGAAGCTGTTTAGTCAAAGGAAGAAGCAAAATGCGCAAAACCGAGAAGAGTGGCGCATCGTCGACTTCCTCTGTGACGCTGCCGCTGAGAAGAACAAGTTGGATGGTAGGACAGAAAGACTTCAGATTAATGTTAAGTGAAGTTCTCTGCTGCGGCAAAGGTCATATTGCTCTCGCAAATAGGTCTTCCTCAAAAAATGTTTCCTCTTTCAGTAATGTCCACTCACTGTTTGGTTGCTCGCTGCCGCGAGTGGTCATGTACCACATTCGCTGAGTTGCATGACCCGGTTTCGCGAGGTTTAGCGACGAGTGCTGTACGTCCTAAGAAATCTGACCTCCAGCCAATCAACGTCAGCAAAGAGAAGATCCGTTAGCCATCCGTATCCGAACGTGCGACCGTTAAACAGAGAGACTGTAACTATATGACATCAGCTGTACAGCTAAGCGGTATCACTGAACCTCCTTGCGATCTCAGAAGCGTATATCCCTGACCAGAAAACGAATATCGTCTGGAAAACCGATGGCTGCGTCACTGTTCTGGGAACCAAGATTTCAGACGCACGAGTGGCAGAGTTACTGTCACCACGAGCAGTGAATTCCACGGTCTCCGTCGAGTACAGACGCTTGCTTACCGTCCTGCAACAAAGAACGTGAGGGTCAACTCTGTGGTCATGTATCCGTCCCCCTTCCCTACGAATGTCGCAGACGATCAAACGAAGGACGAGTTCTACGCGTAGTTCTCGGTTCTCTTCCACACCACCAGTCATCTATCATGGTCGGAGAAATGAACGGGCAGGGCGGCGGGGACAATTCCAACTGGCATCACTTGATCGGCCAACATGGCTCTGAGACACGGAACGACAACGGTCGGCAGCTGATAGACCAATGTTTCATGTACCAAGTCGTAGTGGGCTGTACGCTGTTTCTTTTCTCCATTGCGAAATTCATCGCTTGACGTGGACAGCACCAGATGACCACTTCAGTGGTCAGCTGGACCACATATTGGTCAGCAGAAAATGGCGAAGCGCCCTTCACGACACCCGGACATGACCCGGAGCTGACATTGGCTCGCACCACTTCATGGTAGTCTGCAATTCATTACATTAAGGATAACATCACGGAAAGGGGCGAAGGCGAGATTCAACACCATCAAGTTTAAAGGTTCAGAAACTTGTGTAGCACTCCAAAATGAGATCAACAGCAGATTTGCTTGACATGATCTGCCAAGGCTCCAAGCCGATGTGCTAACAGCCCCAACAGGGCATCGTCGGTGCAGCAGGAAACATAATCAGCCTAATCGAAAAACGAAGCACTCGTGGATCACCGCAGAAACCTTCACTCGCCGCCAAAAAAGAAACTCTGAGAAGCAGGAGTTCTTACTAGAACCCTAAAGAGACGAAAAATTGAGTATAGGCATCTCGTAACTGCAGTCTACATGGTCTAACCTTGTAACAAGCGACACTCGATGGAACCTGAAGCACAGAACCTGGAACAGACGGTTTTTAAAAAAGGATTGGAAGACGCTGTACAGACAAGTCAGCATAATCCCCAATGGCGATAAACATAAGTCTGCAAGTAACGAGCCTCTTCCAGATTCAGATAGTCGGTGGAGGATATGGGCTGAACACGTCGAAGAGCTCCTAAACCAGCTGGTGGTTTTAGTGAATCACCTGGAAATAGAGCTTAAAGGCTGAGAAAAACTACAAATTGACCATTTCATACAAAGTCGAAATCCGAGATGTCATGCACCTCTGTCGAAGTTCAAAATCCTACGGGTATGACAGGATTAGCGCATAAATTACGAAGCACCCGGACGAAACTCTACTGAACTGGATCCATCTGGTTTTTGACAGTGTCTGGAGGAAGTCAGAATTCCGTGAGAGTTGGAAACAGGGCGTGATAATTCCTAGATTTAAACGTGGGATTCGTTTGACTGCGCCAACTACCCCGGGATCACGCTTATGATTATGCTGGGAAAGGTATTCACGTAAATCCTACTCTCAGGACTGAAGAACGCAGC